CAGAGAGGGAGGGGCCGTGCCCGCGGCCACCCCCAGCCTGTCCCCAGGGAGCCCCCCGCCTTCCCCAGGGGAACAGGGGAGTCTGGGGGGAGGAAGAGCCTCTCGGCCCCCCGCCGCAGCACCGGGGGTGGGAGAGGGGGGAGCCCCCGGCTAATGTGATGAGAGGGGGATGAGTCCGTAAGCTGTTAAGCCACCGCAAAGCCCCTCACGTTCTGGCCCCGTTATGGCCGACTTCTGCTCACATCTGCTCCCGGGGTTATTTTTATCCGGGTATTAAGGACTTCTGGGTCCTTAAGCAGGCGGAGGGGGGGCTCCGCTTGTTGTCATGTCTCCCCCCCGGGGCAGGAGCTGCTCTTTGTGGGCTGCAGAGGTGAGACACCAACACCAGCCCCGCTGGTATTTGGGAGGGGGCACAGGACACCCCCCCCAGGACCCCCTTTCCCCTCCACACCCAACCATCAGCTTTGCACTGGTCCCAGCACTGATCCCAGCAAGCTGGCGGCACTGGGGAAAGACCGGAGAGGCAACCGGGCAGGAGCCTCGCACAGAGGGATGCTGCCAGGGATATCAAAAATAAAGAGATATTTATTGGCGTTGAGTAAAGTGCAACCTCAGCGGAGTTTTACACTCGGAAGGCGGGCAAACAGCAGGAGGAAAGTTCAGAGCCGACCTGGAGGGGAAGGGGAGGAGAGGCCCCGAGCGCAGCTGTGCTGAAAGGATACAAGAACTGTACAAAGGACTTTAACAAAAAAAAAGAAACTACATCAGATAAATTATTTACAGTTCAAATTGATTACAGGTAACAGGAGGCTGAAGGCTCATGAGCTTCCGCAGGCTGAGAGAGCAAGAAAAGGGGCTGAGAGGAGACACCGGCCCCGCGTGGGCGCTTCAGCGGAGATGTGGGCTGCGGGACAGCCTTTAGGGACGGTTGGGGTCATCCCCCGGCACCGGGTTCTGCTTTGGGGTGGGATTTTGGGGTGGGGGTAAAGCCTCGGTGCTGCAGCGTGGCCCCTGCTCCTGCCCGGTGGAGACAGGAATTCATCGTGATTTCCAGTGGTGAAAGGTGGGAAGGATTTAAGGATGGAGATTGGGCCTTTTCCTGGATGTTTCTGCTAAAATCAGCGGAGACCGAACACAACTGATAAGACTTCACGGAGCTGCCGAGGTGCACGGGGCCACATCGCTGCTGGCTGTGCGGGTCGGCTCCTGTGCCGGTGGCCTCTCCCGGAGCTCCGGGCCGGCAATCGGCACGTCCTTAATGGCAGAGAGACTCTGCACAGGTCTGCGGAGCGAAGGGAATCCCACCGCTGGAGACCTCAACACCACGCAGCTTTCCCTGCCGCTGCCTCGGTAACTCCAGAGATCTGCTCCAGTTACAAACACGGGCGTTTTTCTTGTGCCTTAAACTCCCCGGGGAGACCCGAGCTGAGCTGCGTTCCTCCAGCTTATGACCCACCAGCAAAGACTCCGGAGCCGAAACAGCTGCAGCTCTGCTGTGGGTGGGTGAGCCGGTGCAGCCCAGCCCCTCTCCCACCCTGGAGCCGTTTCTGAAGACATTACCGAAAGGGACAACAGGACATGCTCATCACAGCACTAAGAACTGTCAGGAGCGGCACCCGCAGGGGATGTGTTTCAGCCTGGCAGCCCGGCTCACCCCCGTTTCACGCTGGAAGAGCTCCTCGGGTCTGAGACGGGCACTGCCAGCAGCCGAGGCGAAGCCGCAGCCCGGCTGGATCTTTTCTCCTGTCAAGAACCCCCTTCCTGCGCTCAGATCTTCTGCAGGAGGCCCTGAGGCACGCTCCGTCTCCTGCGGTGATGCGACACAACTCGTTGTTTCCTTGTCTTTGCTGTCACCCTCAGCGGCACACGAGGCTGAAAGGAATTTAATGGGGAAAAAAGACAGCTCAGCCTCGAGCTGCCCGGAGAACGGGTCACCTCGGAGATGATCCGGCCTCTCCAGGAGCAAAGTGATGTGGAACAAAGCTGCTGACGGGAAAGCATGTGGGAGGGTGAAAGGTGGGCACAAGGATGGGGAAGAGCTTTTGCCAACTTGTTGGATCCAATTAGCCAAAAAAAAAATTGAAAAGCTCAGCGGGAGCCCAGCACGGGGCCAGGACCACTTTCCTCACCGAGAAGCTTTGCACCAACACGCAGCAGAGCCCCGCTCTGCCGGGAAGCAGGCTGCAGAGCTCGGCTTTAGCTCAGGCCTCCTGGGCTTCCCCTGCCTCATGCTCTGGGTTTGCCGCATGGTTTTGGCAGGCCAGTGGCCGCGGGGAATCGCAGCCGCTGTGCTCTCAGCTGGAGACAGGCTGGAGCCACGCGGCTTTGATCCATTCTCCCGTCTGGTCAGCGGGAACATGGATCAAGTTTGCAGCTCCAGCCTGTTTCTGGGTCCTTCACTGACGGTTGCACCACCACGGGTGGAGGTCAGGAGCCCGGGGCAGATGGGGCTGTTCCCCCCCTGCACCCCGGCTTGTTAGCAAGGCCACTGGGACCACTGGTGGTGAACGGTGCTGTTCTGAAGAGCACAGCCCCTCACAGAGGGGGAAGAGGCTGCATCGTCCTGGGACGCAGCCACGAAAGCGCTGCAGAGCCCTCCTGACACCTTGGCCTGCGGATCTGGGACGGAGAGGGCTACTGCCTCTCTGTCTTGACGTGATCTCCAATCATCCTCCGGTGATACGTGGCCAGGAAGATGTCGTTGTCTCGGGGGCAGTCGTAGTGGCAGGAGCACATCTTGATGAACATCATCTTCCGCTGGAAGAAGTCCCCCTCGGGGCAGCGGAACTCCACCTCCACAGTGCTGGTGATGTACGGGGTGCAGCAGCGGCCGTCCGTGCAGCTACCGCAGAACTTGGGCCGGTAGGAATGGGTGCTGGTGCAGCCCGAAAACTCAAAGTGGAGGCTCTGACGTGGCTTTGGGGTCCGCACACACTTCTTCCCCTTCTAGGGAGAGAGCAGAGGGGTTAATAAGGACATGACAATGAGACAAAAGGTCCACCGAGCCCTGTGCTTGATCCCCATCACCGTGCGGTAGGACACAGAAAACGTGGAAGCACAGAGCAAACCCTGCGAGACAGGCTCATGCCTGACAAGTACCTCACGAGGTTGTCCCTGGCGTTCCCGGTGTTGTGTCCCCTCTCCCCAAGCCCAGTACCTTGGTCTTCTCCATGGGGAAGTCACAGGGCCGGACCATGCAGAGCCGGGTCTCCTTCTCCAGGCGGCACTGGGGGTTGTCGTTGGTTACTCGGGCAGAGATGCCCATGCCGCAGCTCTTGGAGCAAGCGCTCCACTCGGTGGTCTGCACCAAGCAGTTCTCCTGCAGGTTATTCAGCTCCGGCTTGCGTGCTGGATCCTCCCTGAAAACTGAGCCAGGCGGAAGAGACACAAGGCGAGGTTCAAGGTTTGGGACAAAGTGTGGCAGCTCCATGGCTGCTCCCAACTTGGTCTAACTCTTCGGGAATGGTAGCAAAGGTCTGATCCATCCCGTGAGCTACTCAGCCTCTCAGCAGGAGGAGGACGCAGGCAAACACGGGGCTGTTCCCTACCACAGCCCAGCTCCAGCCAGTTCTGCTGCGATACCAGAGGGCGTGCGAGCCTCCCCGCAGCATCACTAAGGTCTCACCCTAACGGATCTGGAGTTCAACGCTTGGTACCCACTCGGCGGTGCCCAAAGTGAGCAGTCACCACCAGTTCCAAACCAGACGTGACTTAGGGTCCCAGTCCAAAGGCAGCTTGGATCCACCCCTATCCCCCAGCAAACAGCTCCGGCCCTGTCACATCTGCCCACCACTCACCCGCCATGGCTGTTTCGAAGCGGTTTTCCTCACTGCCCTCCTCGCAGATCCACTCTTCGCAGCATTTATTGCGAAACTTCACCCGCCGGGGGTTGGGGCACTCGGGGGACGGCAGCCGCAGGTCGTCGGAGCAGAGGGGGATGCAGCCGATGGCCCCGTCCATGCAGATGCACTGCAGCTTGCAGGTGGGCTGGAAGCTCTCCCCATTGTGGTAGATCTTGCCCAGCAGGTCACAAGTCGCGCCCTCGTGAGCTGTGGGAAGGGGGAAGAGGAGAAGCTGAGCACACGGTGCAGCGCTGGTAGAACGGTCTCTGCCTCAGGGGGTGACAGAGCTCCTGGTGAGGGACAAGTGCCCACGCGCAGACTCTGCCCTGCCCCGCCATCCCGGCGCTGGATGCAGCAGAAGTTGGCACATCTCATATTTGGCCCCCTGGACCCGAGGCTATTGCCGACATGGCTATTTGGAAGTTGGCTCCAGCTGTGCCAGACCTGCCAAAGTTCTCTAGAAAAATCTCTTCTCCGCTCGGATGAGCTACTGCGTGGGACTGTGTCCTCACAGCTCGTAAAGAGCCTCTTCTGCAGTCTGAGGTCTGCGGGTCCGGCTCAGAGCACGCCCCGGTCAGCGCTGCTGTGCAAGATGCATCCCTGCCACCACCACACGTGCACCAGCCGCTTTGCTCCTCGTTACTCCCAGCAGACCAAAAGGCGACACTCTCCTAAGAGCAGTTGGTTGCCCACATGTCTAAAGGTACCTTCAAAAGGAAAATAACACTTTGTGTTTATGACCTTTTTGGCTCCTCTGTGATGCATGAATCTCTTCTTCCTTCCAGCCACAACTTTTTCTATTTCTCTCTCTTCCAATCTCCAGATCTCTCATCTCCAGCCCTCCTACGAGTCTTTCACTCCTTCCCTAAAACTTAAATGAGCAGAAAAGGAAACACAACAATATCTGACACGTAGGAGCAATATCCAGCCTGCGGGTGTGAGCACTGCTCACAAGTTCTTAAGTCTGTATTAGCCAAAATTTTTCCAGTGTAAATTTTCCAGCACAAAACTCTTACTTGCTTGAGAGTTTTGCAGGCGCAGACCAACATCAGGAATGTTTTCAATGAGGAACAACTGAAGCATTTCAATTTGATATCAAAGATCTCCTTTATGCTCTTACAATAGCTCAACCAAAATACTTGCTGGACAGCATCCCCAGGGGGAAGCATTTTGCTCGGGTAATTATTTTAGATACTGTGAACATCAAGATGAAACATTTTGATATAATGGCAGTGGAAAGTTTTGACGCAGCCAAATGAGTATTCTAAATAACTCATGGAAAGTTTTGAGATTTTTTTTCTATTTTTTGTTTCTTTCAGCCCAAAATGAAATGTTGAAATCTCAGAGTTGTTCACAGGACAGAAATCCTGCTTTTGGACAGTTCTCATCAGCTGCTGCTTTCTGCAGTCCTGACCCTTAAAAAACAAAACACATCCATGCAAACCTCTACTGGGAAGTTACCAAAAGGAGGATTCTTGGCTGCTTGTGGAGGCTTACCAGGAAACCTGATCTATTTTCCCCTTAGTCCTGCTCGCTGGTGGAACGTTGTCTCAGACAGAAAGTGTTTGGACCAAACAAGGAGCGAGAGTCTCTTTCCATCCCACCTATTCCTTGAGGGGACACAAATCCTTCCGGGCTGCTAATGCCTTGTTTCTAACCAGAGCTGGATCTCAACTTGCAACTATTCTCAATGCCATTGGTATAAAAATACTCCTGTGCTCCTACTGAGAAGTTTCAAAATCCTCACTTTTTCCATCGGAGCGGAAGCCATCCACTTTCCCTCTGCACAACCATTCATACTTATTTTTAAATCCTCTTTCACTGTTTTTTAGCCCCAGCGCTCTCCCTTCCCGAGGAACCGATCGTGCTGTTCCCTCAGCAGCACTCCTCCCCACCCAAGGAATGGCAGCCCGCTCAGGCGTTTTATTATGTTTTCAAAACTCAATCGTTTTGTCATGCCCTTCGTTACCCTACAATGACCTCCCTTTCCCGTTGACTTGATCCAATTAAAGCCCCAAAACGGATTGCGCCAGCGGAGTGAGAGGACTCTTTATTTACCAGCTCCGCTTGGCACCGCTGCCACCTCCCGCCTCCAAACGGCGAGCCCAGCCAAGGAGGCTTTTGCCCTTTTCTGCGGGGAATATGGCAGAGCTCAAGCGAGCCGCTCCAGTCGCCGCAGCTCTGCCAGCTCCCCGCACCCACCCAAGCCACCCCACCACCCCTCGGCTCTCCCGCTCTAGACTTACTACGGGATCGTCGCTACCTTTCCGATACTCCAAGGGCTCTGCGGGAAGGGATGAATTCCTCCGCAATACGTGAAGCACTACGTACTGTGGTAACACTAAATAAATACACAGCAATTTTCACTCTGATGGTTCCCTTCCTGTCTCTTCTGATACGGCCTTCAGGCTGGTACCCAACCCAGAAGCTTTTCCCGTGACACCCGAACACCTCTCTGCTTCTTTCTGCTCCCATCACATCTGGCTTATTTGGATTCCTGTAAGTCCTCTCTTCTCCACGTGCAAACACTGATCTTTCCCTTCATTCAGTTCATCGCTCCACCTTCAGCTTCCTTCACTGCCTCCAAAATCCCCCATCTTCCAAGAGATCAGTGTGGACATCACAAAAATATCACCCAAGGACATAACGTCCCAAACCTTCAGTGCAATTTAGGGAGATATCTTGGTCTATCCTGGTTCATCTGGGATTTTTGCCACGAAAATCTTAATTTCTCATTTAAAGGCAGGAAGGACAGTTGTGGTCTTCGAGTCTGATTTTCTACGCAGCAGGGATCTGGGACTCTCACTCCAAAATCTTTGGATCAAACCCATACATCACGGTGAACGCGAAGCACTTTCTTTATAAAGATGTTCAGTCTTCACGTGAAGTCTTTGAGATGGAGACGCATCCACACACCTGAGTGAGTTGTTCCAGTGATTTAGCTACCTTTACTCTACAAACATACACCTCATTTCCAGTCTTAATTAGGCAGTTTACAGCTTACACCCGTTATTACGCCTACGTTTCCCTTATTAAGCTTCAATCATCAGCTCTTAGGTGTATTAATGCCTACGGGAAGTACTAGGAAGCTCATGCGGCTTCTAAAGATCACAATAACTGGGGGAGGAAAATAAAACAACTTATAAAAACTTCTCAAAAGAAAGGAGAAAACACCTTCTACAAGTTAAATCTATTATTTAAAGTTAAAAAAAAAAAAATTCTATGTGATGCTGGCACTGCAAAGCAGTGGAGTTCTACCCCAAACAGCCCTGCCTTGGGGCGGTGCGAGTGGTACGGCTGCCGGAGCTTTTCCAGAGATGCCCCGTGCAGTGGCTGAATGCTTCCCAAAGCGTTCACATCAGCTTTCCAGCCCTCGTGTCTTCCTGACTGTTTTGAAAAGCTTGAAATGAAAAAAATGCTCCGCTCCTGGCAGAGACAGGGGCAGAGGAGTCTTGTTTTTAAACAAAGAAGAGGAGGCTGAGGAAATATTGATTTTTTTTCCTCTACACCAAAATCATTTTTGCATGCTTTAAAAATAGCTACTAAACAACAACAAAAAAAAATCAAACCTATTTTTCTTTTCTGGCTGAAAAGAAGCACCAGGAGAGAAAACAGGTCTGCATTTGTATTTACCTGGCTCAGTAATTCTCATGTTCTACCTACACGCTGTTTTGCAAACCAGTCGTTCAGCTCTTTCCACCCACGTGCTAAAGCCAGAAATACGGCGTGCCTCCTGCATGTGAGCAGTCGAGTGCAGAATGCCAATCTCCAATGCAGGGCACTGAGATTTTTGAGTGAGATTTTCCAAGCAACTGTACTTCCCAGTAAAAGTCCAGATTGCTGGTATTCACCCACAGGCACTACAGGGTTAGAGGATGTCTCCTAACAACGTCAGGGGAACAAAGGAGAGTCCCAAACCCCCTCTCGTGCCTTTGGAAACATCCGTCACTGCAGGAGGACGTAGGTTGGGTGTTTATCGGTATCAGCGAATCTGTTGGCTCGCAGGGCTGGCACAGACCTCGCACCGTGACGCTGGATCTCTCCAAGCGCTCCAGGAAATTCTGCCGATGCCGTGGGTTTTCTGGGAGGTCTGCAGGCAGAGGGCTGAAGGGGCCGCAAGAAAACCGCACAGTAACAGAACATACAGCTCTCACCTAAGCAGATCCCGCTGCCTCTGTGGATTTTGGAGAAGTCGCAGTAGAGTCCCTTGTGATGATCACAGGGTTTCTGCAGGGAACAGAGCTCGCCAAGCTGCCTGGCACACACCTTGCAGCAACCACAGGCATCCAACACGTGGCTGGTGCCGGCAGGGCACTGCAGAGGCTGGGAGGGACACTGGCATGGATACGTGCAGGCCTGCGGTTCTACCTGGAGGGCAGACAAGCCATGGAGAGAATGAGTCTCCCGCAAACCAGCCAGGCAGAGGAATGAAAAACACGATTCTGCTTCAAGCACAGACACCCCCTCAAGAGGAGGGAAGACCAACTTCGCCCTCCACCGGAGAGCCCTGCCGCAGAGGGTGTGCGTGCGGCTCCCCAGGACTCGCAAGACTCAGCTTTTTCTCATCCCTAACTCATCTGGAGCTCAAGGGGAAAAAAAACGCCATGGGAAAGCAGGGCCAAAACAAACAGGACAAGCAGTAGCTTGGAGATCCATGCACAGCTCGCCCTCCCCACTTCCCTGGAAGCAATAAAATAGTAATTATTAACAGTAAGCAATTCCCAGCTCTTACATAGCACTGCTCAGGAGAAAACATCAAAGCACTCTGCAGCAGCATCATTAGTCCCAGTTTGAAGACGGAAAAAGCGAGGCGCATAGCGAAAGGACTTGCCCGAAGTCAGCCAGGGCTGAAAACTGACCCGAAGGCTCCCGAGTCCCATTTTGTCCCCTGGATTTCACACTTTGGTCGTTATTCCCAGAGACGTGCCCTCTACTCTCCCCTTTCCAGCGAATGCAGCGTAACCAACCTTCCTCAGGACCTTGTGAGTCTGCAGCTCGCCCCGCTTGGCAGCATTTCATTAGTGCTGGCCACCTCTTCAAACCCACCCTTGGCTTTTACGCCACTTCAGATGTAAGCAGAGATCAGGCTATGTCTGAAGGAGGGTTACACCGTCTCTGGAAAACCCAGGATGCTTCGAACACTCCAATAGCTCAGTCTGTGGCATCTTTGTCCCGAATCAGCTTGGAGCGGATACACCAGCCTCAGCTCTGGATGTGCCCAGATGTCAAACCACAACTGTGAAAGGTGCAGAGCATATGGTCTGGAAAGACCCTCTGATATCTCCTCAGAAACATCAGCGTGCTAATTCTAGCCTGGTTTTCTGCTCAGCCTCTGCCCGCTAAAATTCTCCAGGTAGTTCAGAGGGACGCAAGAGCGCTATTCCAATTTGCAGTGCTCAGGTGCTGCGCGCTGCTGGACACGGGTCAGCTCCCACCCCGGGGGCAGCTGCTGCCGCAGGGCCGATACAACCCTTGCACGTAGACGATACCAGAAAACGCTTTGGGATCCTGCATCGCTGTGAGCCGGGGCGAAGAGGAAAGCACCCCCCAGGGCAGACCCCTCGTGGCTCTGCTGCCAGACCCGGCCACTGCCACCCAGGGAGCTGGAAAGAGCCCGGGGGCAGGCGGGAGGGGGGAAACACCTGGAAAAGAGGCCAAAAAAATATCTTGCTACAGCTCTGTTTGCACTTGTTATATGCCATCCAGCCCTCGCTTGTGAAACAGCTTCCTTGGATATTGTGTTTGTCACCAATAACAGTAGTAAAACTTTTCCAGCTGTTTTGACTGTTGCTCAAAACAGCTGCTCTGACTTCAGCTCACATGGGGTCAGGAGATGCCAACTGCTTTGTATTTCTGTAACCATCAGCACAGGATGGTGTAGGAGAGGGATCGGTCTAAATCTTAACTCACAAGTCCTCCCAGAGTCTCACCCTGCTCAGCGGGAATCGGCGTAATTCTCCTCGAAAACTCCAGCGCAAAGTATTTTGGAAACAAGCCTCTCCCGCCTGTAGCCCAGCTGTTCTCAGACGGCAGTCTCAGAGCCACTCGCTGGGAGCTGGCATGTCACAGGGATCTCTTCCCGACGGCTGAAGTGCATTAAAAGACGCTAAAAATACAGAAACGCTTTCCTACTGTTTTTCATGTATGCAACCGCTGCAGCTGCCAAAAGGACGTGTTATTCAACCATGGATGAGTGGGTGGGGGGTACATGAGATCATAAAAGAGGCGAAGCATTCCTAACAGAGGACCTATATTAAGATGCAATCCATGCACTTAAAAAAAATAATGACAACAAGCATTTTCCGATGCAGTGTCAGCCACAGGCCATATAAAGAAACACTCTCAAAATAGCTCTCCTACTGAAAACCAAACCAAAACAACCTCTTTCAGTGTAACAGAGAATGCAACGGAATAAATCCCAACCGAGTTTTCTTTCTCACCTTCATTAATCATTGTTGGTGCTGTTTATTTCCTTTAATAACTCACCCAAAGAAACCAGACCACCTGGTTTTACCTTCTGCTTACAATCAGCTTCACTTCCTCATCATATTACGGCTGGTTTTCAGCACAAGAACATCTGGATTCAGCTCTCCGAGGTATCGGAGACCCGCTGGGCGACTCTGCACCCCTACCTCTGCTGGGCCTCATTTCCCCCCCCTGTGAGCACAACCCCGGCTTAAAAGGCCCAATTCATCCGTATTTTCAGGGCTCTTTTCAATACTTCAAGCTTTTCCAATCAGTCAGCTCAGACATGCCTTTCCATCACCCAGTCCACCTGGCTCCAGGGTGTGTTGGGGCTCCTGTTTGCTTGTTTTATTACTGAGCAAAGTCACCTCGTGCTATTTATACCTCCCGCTCCTCTCACGAGCCCAAGAGAGGAGAGAACGAGCTGAAATCTTTTTTGGCTCATGCACACTCAACAGTGAGCACTGAATAACTGGCTGGCGAGGGGAACTTACTGAGTTGGGAACAGCTGGTAGAAAGTCAACGTTGAACCAACTTCCTAGAGTTCTCCATTACTTAATTTGCTTCCGCAGCAATTTCAAACAGGCTAAATAATAGATTATATTGGATTTGCATGGGGCACCCCCACCCTGCATTATTTTCCAGGACTGCTTCTAGGAGTCGTTTCAATAGAGTGTGGAAACAGCCCGAACTGTCCCAAAGAGCCACAAGGACTCACCTTCAGGGCTTTGGTACAGACCCATACGTACCACAAAGAGCAGCATTTCCACATAACATGCCACCGACCCGGGTGCAGAGGGATTCACATAAACAACATGTAATTTTCTTCCCCTCTGCAGAAGGGTCTGTCGCCAGAATTACACTTTTACCTGCACTGAGCAGGATCCTAACCTCAAGTTCTCTATAGCCTTGACCTTGCTTCTGTTGAGGTGGCAGCGCCTTTTTGTGAACTTCGAGAGCAGCAGAACAGAACCACTATTAGAGATCAAAGCTATAGATGTAAGAAAGTGCTAAAGCCTGGAATATCAGCTCTCCCTGCTCCTGGCTGGCAGCTCTCGTATCAGTCACAAACACCGTGTGTGAATCTGCCATTCCCAGGACGCCTGAGGGACGTCCCAGCCACAACGGGAGTACAAAGAGGCTGACTAGAGGGTTCCCTTGTCTGTGCTCCACACGTGTTCTCCACCACCGACTCCCAGGTCCCATCTGCTCAGCTGACAAGCCAGAACAAGCTTCCTCCCAACTGCCAGCACCGAACCCACTTACCTGGGGGGAAAGAAAAAGTCAGAATGTTCTTCCTGCTTCATATTCACATAAAACCTCTTCCCCCTACGCCCGCAGGAAGGCACGAGTTGGGGGACATGAACTCACGCCACTGCAGCAGTTCTGTGGCATCATCAGGACATCTCATTCCTGATCAGCCAACGTCCACGTGAGCCCAGGGAACCAGCTAAGAGGGCCAAACCAAAGCAGATTTTTTAAAATGCATTTGGGCTCATGACTGCATTCAAAGGGCTGGGAGAGGCGCGTTTTGAAGCTGAGCTAGCTGTTTGCAAACTGCTTTGGGAGCAAGGTAGAAGTAATATAATCAACACCTAACTGGTTCTCTTTCACACTCCAAGACTGGAAGTAGATAAAGCAATTAAAACACAATTATTCACGCACTCCAAACACTGAGTGATCATGGATAATACCTGCTCTCCCTCCATCACAGGCTCTCAAGGCACCTTCCCCGGGTTGCTGCACCACGTCGTACAACAGCCTATTACGAGAGACGAGAAGCACTATCCCCATCGCACAGACAGAGCGCGGAGGCACGCAGACTCGCCCAGGCTGAGCCTGGCAGAGCTAAACATAACTCCCGGCAATCCTGGTGCTCCTCTCACCTCGGAACGACACAGCAGGCAGATTCAGGAGCAGCAGCTCTCGTTTGCTTGCTCAACCCACTAAACATCACTCTCAGAGCTCAAAGAAAGTCAGAAGTCCCGTTTCCAAAGCACTCGGCAGGTTTAGAGAAAATGACATCATCTCAGAGCAGTAATAAAGTGTCACAGCGGTGGGATTTGCTGCTATCGTTTATATGACCAATATCAGCTACCGAAGCCGGGGCAGCGCAAGAGTCAAGATGACCACCCCAAATAGCAGAAATTACCCTTCGATGCCAGTGGCGTTAGGTGCACAGGACACCTTTCCTGGCAGGAAAGGGGCTGGCACACGCTGGGTGCTGCCAGGAGCAATCCAACAGAAGTTTATTGCATCTATCAGCACAGTAAGCCATGCAAGGCACAGTGCCTCTGTGAACCTGATTTCTTCACTGATCCAAAAGGCACTTACTGTAATTTAGATACATTAATGACTGCAGCAATGTTCCTTCTATTACTGGCACTGTAATAGCACACAAAAGTCCTGAGCAGAATCAACCACTCTGTCTAACACTTGTATTAACACAAAACCAGGCACAAATCCTGCTCTGGAGAGGCTGCAGTCTGACTTCCCTCTCAGGATGACTGTTTTTGGGAACACACGGGTGGATTCAGTGGCAGCCGGGGAAGGATGGTGACAGTAAGGAACGGGGATACAAGACTTTTACTTGTTGCAGTGACATAAACTCAGTGACTTCACCTCTCTCTGTTCTCTTCTTCCCCCTTGTAAACCAGGGCTGGCTTCTAGCTCACAAGAGAGGAATGAAACAAAATCCATTCGCATTTGCCAAGAGCTTTGAGATCCGTAGGTGACAGGCGTTACGCGCGGGGCAGCTCCGAGCACGATTTAGTTACGCAGCGCGTTTGCATCGCTCTGCTAACAGCCAGCCTCCTCTCAGAAACCTTCGGAGGCAGGTGGCAGCTGGGAAGAATTATTCAGCCGAAAGCATTCGCATGCATCAAAGCAAGAAGCTGCAATGCCCAGCCAGCAATCGGAGCTGCTGCAGTGCAATACATACCCAGCCAGGTGCAAAGAGCAGGAGGAACAGGGTCCAGGTCACTGTCCCCAAGTTGCCAGACATCCCGAGTAAAGGGAAGGGAGGGGGTTCAGGCTGCCGACTGACTCACTCCTTCTCCTTCGCTCTTCAGAGAAAGTTGCACACCAGCTCCTCTTTAAATAGCCTCCTGGAGGGGGCGTGCCCCGCACTTGAGTGACAATCTGGAAAGCAAGCTGAAATGGGTGCAACAAAATAAATGTCCAAATTCCAGGGAACATGAACAGATTCCTGTGGCCCTGGCGGTTGCGGGGCTGCCGGCACAGCCGGCAGCTTGGTTACTTTCCACATGGGTAAATCAAATCCCAGTAAAAGCAGGATTATTATTTTTTAATTTTTCCCCTTTTTAACTCCAAAAGTATGAAGTCTGCGACAGCTGTCTTGACTCAACCCCCCTTTCCCTCCCTACGTCCATTCCTTTTTGGCCGCGAGAGCCGAGGATTTAAATAAGCAGAGCTTTGTGGTGCTCAATGTTTTTCCTTTGAACAGGAGGGAGAGATGGAAAGTTCAGCGCTGTTAGGCGCAATTAGGTACCGTAACTGACCGTGCATCACCAGCGCTCGGTGCTGCCAGCTCCGAGAAATGAAAGTTTCATGACTATAAAGACTGCTGTCGGAGCTCCTGCAACGAGGAGCTGCTTGTTTTACAAGGCAATGAAAAGCTAGGGGGTGAAGGTTATTGATAAAGGACAGCAGTTTCCTGTAGTGCTTTATTTGTGCCCTGGGATGGATGCAGCGTATCACACATTTTATCTCGGGGCATGATCTTTTTTGTTTGCTGCTGAAATACAGAACCAGGCTTCTGCACAGCCCGCACAAAAAGACCTTTAGAATATGAAAGAGTTGTTTTGTGTATTAAAAGAGTTGTTTTGTTTATTCCCAAACAGCAAGCGGAATGCTGCCATGGAAAGATGAGGAGAAGGAGTGCAGCAGAGGGCACTCTTAGTCCTTGCTGGCCTGGGGTGTGACAGAGCAGGTTAGGTACCGGACAGGAATCCTCTGTGCCGCACTTGAAGTGGCCTTAAAAAGATGGAGCTGTGCCTTTGAGTCAGGGACCTTTCCAGGGGAGAAGTGGTGGAAGATCTGTGTATGTACTTTGGGCCAAGATAAAGCAAAGGGCAGGAGCATACGCAGAATGCCCTGTGCCATACCGTCCCTACCACATCCCAGCGGAGTGTGCTGGGAAGTAGGACAGAAGATGAAGAAAAATATAGGGAGTGTGTAGTGGGTGATTTAAATTCATCCTCCTTCCTTCCTGCCTCCAAGTGTAGGGCATGTTAGCTGGGAATCAAACCCTGCATTTTACTCCCATCCTTTCAGGTCCCTCTGCAACACCAGATCAGCCTCCACACTCCCTATGCAGCTGTTTGTCCACTGCTGAAAACAGACAACTCCAACTCTTAATTAATTAGCAGTTGGAAAGCCCCTTGGGATTTGGGGCTGGAGAGCATTAGCAGAGTGCAAACCACCTCAGATGCACCTCCTTCTTCTCCTCTTCAATAAGAGGAGAGATTTCACAATCGTTTCCGTAACAGCTACTTCTACTAATGTCACAACGAAGGATTATGTCTCCACACAAAAGATTTAATGTCCTGGAGGTGGCATAAACATCCAGCGCCCCAGAGCAGCTCGGAGCTAAAGACAGTCTAGCTGGATATACATTCCTTCCCCTTTCGGAAGGCTTGGCACCTTAAACTATGTTGTCGCCTAAAATTAGCTGCTCACATTTCGCAGGGCGTTCTCACACTGCTCATAAATAAGACAGGGATAAAGTGCTACACACCTCCGTTCTCATTTTCTCACAGAGCAAGAATATAAACCACAGCTGAATTCCAAGCCATATGGGGCAGTTGGAGGTGTTATATTTGCGCCTTTTTGAAAGGACAGTGCGTAATATATGGCTCAATTCATACATTGCTCCTTCTCTAAGAAGCAGCAGTTGCACCTTGAGCCATGATCTTCCAAACTCTGCTTTCAGAATTTCTTCTAGCCTGCTGCATGACCTCAGATGAACTGTTCAACCAAAATCACAATACTCACTCACCTGTCAGGAGTTTTGTGGGGAATATTCAGCACTAAACCCGCATTATGATGGCTGATTAAGTTTTCGACCTACAACAAAAATAAAGCATAATTCGATTATAAAACATCCTTACCAAGCTGCTCATCATCATCCACCTGAATGCTTTCATCTTCCCAGAACAGTGGCATAAGGAAAAGGTACAGAGCTGCAATCCTGCTCATCCTTCAAGCCACCTTCTCTCTGCCACAGCCAGCCAGCTGTCACCCTGTCTCACCACGAGATGACCGTCTGGATCCACTCTACATCCTTTCCTGGATAACAGAACCAGTATCCTGCACCACTGTCTTCACTGCAAAGCGCCAGGAGCGGTGCCGAACCCTCCGAATGAGGGTTGCTGGGGACAGAGGGGCCCACTTTGCCTCTCAGAGCCCAGAGGAAGTCTGCCACAAAGGCGCCTTTTTGCCATAAGCTGAAAAAAAAAAAAGCAGAGGAGCTGCAGAACGAGAAGGACAAGTGTCAGCTGGAGATCCCTGGATTTGGGGAGCTCCCTACACCCATGGTCCAAGATTTTCTTAGGGCACTGCGACAAGCAAAACTACCTCTAGCGCTAGCAGCTGAACTGTTCACCCCACTGGACATGCCACTTGCCAACAAGCAAGAGAAGAACACGAAGGTTGAGTGACTCAGAATGATCAAAGGGAGGAAACACCCAAGTTAACGCCGATTTGCGTCTCTCGTTTTTGCCTGAGCTGCCTCAAGTGAAGGGATAAAGATGTCAACCCCGCTTAAAATCTCCCCCAAGCAAAGAATAGTGGGTGTTTAATTCACCTTGTTACGTTCTTCTGGGTTCACTCACTATCCCCAACCAGTGGCTTTCCTGAATGTATAGTAATTATAAAAAGAAGGCATTTAGCTAATTGCTAAAAGTCATGTAAGGCTAAAGAATAAAATTAAGACAAGCACATACAGTTTTTTGGCTCAGTGTGATCTCTCCCAGTGGCACTCTGCCTGCAGAAGCCAAAATAAAAAGGCGGTACAAGCAGCATGGTAAGGGCAATCGTGCTCACCCCGTCCTCAATGACTTCAAAGCTGTCCCCTGTCTCAAAGCTGCTCAGTCGTCCACAGGACATGCTGGTGGCTCTCAGGACTGCTCCTGACGGGAGGTTTCCATTCTCACAGCTGGCCAGTCTTAGCAAAAGTCGCTGTTGACAGGCAATCACTCTAATTTGGCACTCTTAACTTTATGACCCTCGCTGAAATTATATTAAACATAAATTTGGCCCAGCAGAGATGGTGAGGTTCATCCAGCTAGATGGTCTGAAACACGGGAATTTCATTTCATTGTTCATTACCCAGCTACTGATGCCTGCTCGACGCATCCTGCTCACGTGTTCAGGCTAAACCGATTGCCAGATTTGGGGCTATGAAGGAGTGCTGTCCCCTGCTTTTCGCCTCCTTCTGTAGTTTGAGGATAAGATGCAATTCTTAAGATTGGCTGGGCACTTTCACCCAGCTTCTCCCCTGATGATACAAGGCCGCAAGGCCTAAGTGACACCATTGATTTCTCCATCTGTGGCATATTACTAATAAAAGGACAAACCCCATCAATGTCTATCAAGGCCATAAGTTTGCTGCAAGGTGTGGAAGGAGTTCGGCAGGTCTGTGTGCTTTGGGGTAGGACAGGTGAGCAGTCGCTGAATACTTTTGGGCTAAACATGGTTCCCAGAGACTTAACAGCTGAGAAGGTCTCTTCCAGACCTGTGTTCCAGTTCAAGTTCAGTTCTAATTCAGCGTCAGGGACATCTGGGGTCAGATTCATGCCATCTAATCCTTAGGCACTTAATTAAGGCATCTACATTAGAAGCCTAATCTCTCCAGGTTCTCTTTGTAATCAGTGGAGAAGGACCAAAGCTCCCGAACTGCCTCTGACGGTCCCTATCTCCGTGGCTGCATATCATCAGCTGTATCACGATGTTAGTTGCTGTCAACTGTCAAGAGAAAGTGTCATATAAAGGCAGCACCGGAGCTCAGCAAAGGCTAAATGCTGCAGCGTATCTCACTCCAATCTGGGTGGGAAAGGCTACGCTGCCCTAAGGACCGACAGGGCAGGAAAACCCACCCCTTGCTGCTTCAGCACAGCCTTGGGATGAAATCCTGACTGCAGGGAAACACCTACTGGCCAGAGTCGAGCTAGGATTCCCCTCTCCGCCTGGCTTGCCAGATACTGCAGCCCTGAGGGCATGCTGCTGTGCCCATCGTTTAAGGGAGTCAAGCAGGGAACAAATTTCGTCCCTGGCTGCAGAGTTCCCTAATAAAGTCTACAGTTATTTTAGTTCTGGGAGGAACGCTCCATTGTATTTGAGGATTTATTGTGAAATCAAAGCCTATCAAGGGATGCAAAACTTGGGATGGGTGGGGTGCCTGTTGATGTCCTTTTAAAGGAAGTAAATATATAAAAACACTCTTGGCATCACGAGTTCGGAAAGAGCCAGTGCTTACACACAGAGCTTGCCAGCAAAAGCACACATTCTCTTCTCTGGGGAAAAAAAAATGCCCCCCTGGAGCCTGATCTTGGCAGGAGGCAAAAAGCCAGTTCTGAGCTGCAGTTTGCACAGTGTGCAAGCAAGGGCACCCAGAGGGGCTACCAGGAAAGACACTAAACTCCATTTATCAATGCAGAGCATTCCCGTTTCAGAAAGGGTGAACAGTAAGAAAGTCAACACTTCTAAGGACATCGTGCAACAAGAAGCCTTCCCAAAGCAGAGCAACGTAGGTGTTGAGCTCTTTACAAAAAGTAGGCCTTGATTTTGGAAGCCGAGCACTTGACAGTCTTCTCCCTCTCTTTTGCCCTGTTTCTGTTGTTGGGAGAAATCTGGGCTGTCACCCCAAGCCAGAGCATAGCCAGCTGGGAGGCTTTCAGGCCAGCTAGGACCACTCCAATTATCTAACCTGACTTTTCGCCTAACGCAGGCTGGAGGATTTTGCCTATACAATGCACAAGATCCTGCAAACAAGAACTTCTGTGACCAGTTTCCGTATTCTGCCTCCTGGCAGGTTACAGCCAGCTCTGAACGGGGCCAAGAGGCAGAAGTTCATGCGTGGACCAGGCCCTGGACTAGAGCTCTGGGGAAGCCTGACCTAACAGCCAGCCCTGCTGCAGACCCCCTGCATGACCCTGGACATGCTGCAGCTACAACCCCTTCAAAGAGGGGTCACCACAGTGTGTTCCCCGACCTGGTGGTGCCTGGAGACAGCGTGGGCTTTGCCATCGGACAGGTCATGCTCTGCACCGGGAGCGCTTGTGCAGGCAGGTGCCCCAGGATCGCTGGGGCTCAGCATCCAGGTTATGGGTCCACACAGAAAATCAGACCTGGAGGGCAATGCAGAGAAAGCTGCAGGCTATCACTTTGTGCCTCAAGGTTTCTCAAGGTGCGATAAAAAAGTATCTGTAACCTTCAGAAAGCACAGGTCTCCACTGGTAATGTAACAGCAGGGGATCTTCCGAGACCCTTAACAACTGCAAAATTTCGATATAAAAATGAGTCACCATCACAGCCAGGAGCATCTGTGCCGAGGCATTGGCTTGCACAGAGCTGCAGGAGGAACAGGCCCTGGGAGGAAACAGTCAACTGCACCCACCTGTGAAATGGATGCTTCCTTGGGTTTTTCCACTTCTTAACTTACTGCATGCTTAATTATCCTGAAGGAAAACTTCAGGGAGGAAGGGTATGCTTAAGGTGGACTTGGGCAGACTCATTTAAGGAGGCCTCCTGAACCACAGGACTCCTTTGGTGCACAGCTCTGATGCATCTGAACAGCAGTCTATCTTCTGTGGGATTTGGTCCTCACAGCACCTGCACAGATGAGACACAAATGGATGCGCACAAGGTAATATAGCTTGTGAAAGAGAAGGGACTAACGTGAGGTCTCTCTCATTATGGGCTACTGTATTTAATCACTGGGTTCTGCCACCCCCTGAATTAGCAGCCACTCTGTCCTAATTATCAGGAGCTTTTTGTAGTGCATAAGCCAGGCACTGCTGTGTCTGTACAGCCATATCTGAGAGGCTGCAAGGTAAAATTCTTCACTGATCCCCCGTCTCCAAAAACCTCTGGCATCACCTAAGCTCAGAGGCTCTTTGCCCTAGAAAATCCAGGACTCAGCCCCTCAGTCAAAATAGCTCTGATGAAATTTATCGGTCTTCCCTAATTTATACCAGCTGCACATCTCCCACAGACTCAACAGGCAGCAACAGGTCCCTGAGCTCTGCCAGGCTGGTAGGACCTGGAGGGATGGGTGGCCTACCAGGACTTGTGTGTATCTCTCATTAGGGATTTAGGATTCCAACAGAAGCCTGCCCACACCTTTCCCATTCAGGTCTTGGAAAAATTCCAGCTCATTACATGGAATCAGTGAATAATTTAGGTTGGAAGGACCCTTAGGTCATCCGGTTCCTCCTGCAGCTGATGCCAATGCAGAGGATAGAGAAGAGGGGTAGACTTCAGAGGTCAAGAGAGAAGTGCAGGTCAACGGGGTCTGCAAGTTCAGCAAAGCAGTGCTCTCGCCAGCCTGTTCCTGTATGGCACAAATGAATCTCAGCACATGAATCTTTGATCAGCTTTCTAGCCCCCCGGGCTGTAATTGTGAGCCAGCCTTTACAGAGGGCTTGCACCTTTAGCGAGGCAGGGACCTCTCTCAGCTGAAGGGGTTGTTAACTTTGGAATACAATGTAGACATCTTTGAAATTAGCTGTAAGCCAACTACTTCACTACTGATTAAAGAATGCGATCTTCCTCTGAAGGTCTGTACAAACTGCTGTAAGTTACACACTGATGAAAAATAATGTGTGAATTGTTAAGTGTGGGACTATCGCCTATGTGTTCTTAATTCTTTATTTTTGTTACAGGCACGCATCTACGAGGTTGATCTTTCATACATGTTTTTTCATTTGTTTCCTTACCAAATAGATTTTTTTAGAAGTTTCACATCACATATGTTTAAGAAAAGACAAGTCCCAAGCTCCAGGAACAGCTTTGTTATAAGAATGGCATCATTTGACACAACATGAATAAGGAATGTATTTGCAGCCATCATTGCCTTCAGACAGACCAAACTCACACGAGCTGAGGCAGACAAAATGTTCCAGCAGTCTGCAACCTGCGTGAGGTCTCCAGTGGGACTTTCACGTGAGCAGAGTCAGTGCTGTGCTCCTGAGCTGCAGCAGCGGTCACCCGCTCCTCTGTCTGTACGTTGGATGACGTGTGCTGGTGCTTCTCTCCTCCCCTACTCCCTTGTCCTAAACAATTGCCCTAGCTCTCTTCCTCAGAAACTTGTGCAGTGTTAGAAACCTTCTTGATATATTTAGAGGTGACAGTTTTATTAGCTAGCAGTGGAACATTATTCGTCCTGCCAACAAATGCTGCACTTTTTCATACCACTTTATGTATAGGTACAGCAGCATTACTGTTACAAACCTGCTTAAGTCACTTTAAGTCCTGAGCCTTTATTTTCAGTACGGCTTTTGCCATACTGTCTTTAAAATACCCTGTTGCTGGTAAAGCCACCGCTATGACAGACTACTAAGGCTTTTACAGTTTAGGCCATTTGACCTCACAGATGCAGCAACAGATGTTTTCAAATAAGTTTTACAAAGCCTCAGTCTGCTGTTGTTGTTGCTGTTTTAAGGAAGTTATTTGAACCAATAATTTTCATCTCTATAGTTTAAATTGCCTCACCCTCAGAAGCATGATGTCATCTGGCAACAGAGGTGCACAGAGATGGGTTTGAAAGCAGACTTTAGGTGAATAATACTCACTTGTTTTTTTCCCAGTCTGATCCCTGCAATACAGCCATGAGTCAGGTAAAAGAAAAGCTGTAGCTGGCTCAATTTCTTTGCCAGGCAAATAGCCCCAAATCATCTTTACTCTAATGCCTCTTTATGCAGTCATTTCACAATGTTCTCCCTTGTGCATTAGACTGGAAATTAATAACCTGCCTGGCAGAGATAGGCCAATCTGTTAGGTCAAGAGGCTTTGTTAAAATACCGTTATTGGGAATTCTCAAATTATTACAATTTTCAGCCCAAGATGTTCTGACCTCAAAAAAAGGGGATAGGTAAAATGAAAACTAT